CTTTTTTGTAAAATTTGATTTCTGTATGCACTGGTACGTCTTTCGGATCGCTTCATAATTTTTGCACTGAATAGAATGAGAGTTTATCAAGTATTGCGCCAACTTTTCTCATGACACAACAGTTGTTTTACTGAGTCTGCATTTTACCAGAGTTTGTCTAATTGTACCAGTGACATGTTTTTAAGAAACTACATGTGTGTGATTGTAAATCCTGAATTAAACAATTCAGGAGACGAGGCAAAGTCAAACCAGTTTTCTTTCTCACTCTCTGTCTTTGAGTCTGGCTACATTTTACAATGTTCACTCTGCCATACTAATTAGTTCTTTAAAAAGTGAATGTAAAGAAGATCATTTGTGATCCAGACTACTGTTGCCAATATAAACATATTTCTTATGAAACCATGTTTTTTTCCTTCTCTGTCACTGTTCAAATACTGTTTCTGTATGCTCTGTGTTGCCCTAACAACCTGGCACAGCCACCAGTGCTCAATTAGTCATGGACTTAAAGAAAAAAAACAAGATTTTTCAAATGAGCAAACGCACAACATTAACGTGTTTCGATAGAGAACTTTTAGAGGGAAGAGCATATTCAAAGCTGCAAGTGAACTGAGCTCATACTGCAATGTGTAAGTTGAGATTCCCAGCTGTGCTGTCCATAAATACACCATAAAGCGTTCGATTACTCGCTCCCTTGCACTGCAGTTGTGGTCAGAGCTGATAGGCTGCGTAGCATTCTGGTCACAGTTGGGAGTCTTACAAGCTACATCCTGCACAAGACCAGCACTGCTGCCTGCTGGGATTTCACAAAGCATGGAGGTCAGGAGCAATAGGAGGCAAGCATGCAAGACGAAGGGAAAACAAGCGTTTCTTCACAGAGAGTGACACTGAAAGGAAAGAGAAAATGTGGGTCAGGTTGATATGCTTTCACCTCTGTGTTCTAGGAGACTCACATGACTCAAAAATTAAGGAATGAAAGTTTGGTGTTTACATTTTATTCTACTCAGATTTCAAGCTGGGTGTTGGAAAATAGGGGTAGGGGGTGGAGGAACTAGACAGATGTATTCATCCTATATTAGTGGCATTTTAGTTCTGCATATACTTCGATGTCTCTGCAGGCTTTTAATATCCTGCATACTTGCTTCTAAGATTACTGCAGTGCAGTAAGTGTTGTGCTGTTTTTCAGAGGCCTGCAACCTGTTACATTTCCCTCTTTCCCTTTCACCCCCTCCATCGCCCCCCAAAGTCAGCTGGGAGGGAACTTTTGTTCCAACATAATTCCCTGCAGGGTTGCCAAGGTCTTTCAAGTTGGAGTTCTCTTTCTCTAGCCTGTTAATCCACGGCTCGGTGCAGAAAATAACATGGGAAACAACTTTCTCACATGGATTCTTTTGCTTTGCACATTTTGTTCAGGTAAGATTTTGTCGCAGAGGTGTTTCTTTTCCCTTCTTTGGGTTGTAGATGATGTTTGGTCTTATGGAAATGCTAGTAAGTAAATCCAGGTTGGAATGATCAGTAACTTCTGTGAAATAAATCTAAAGGCGAGCTCGAAGAATTAGAGCAGCCAGTTTTGTGCTGACAAAAATATTTGTCTTCATGCCAAGACTGTTATTTACTCAAGTGATGAAAGGCCCTAAAGAATAAGATGTGTGGTTGCATGCTGGATGCTTATTAGGTTGCAGCCAAGATATAATGTGGGTGACGCCCTGTAAGTAGGTCAGTTTAATTCTGCTGTCATAGCACATGTGACTTATTAGTAGTATAGCTATAAATCCCCTATTAGCAATGCACACTTGTAAACTTTGAAAGTATTAGACAATTCCTGCTTGATTACTTGTGAGTGTGTTGTAACAGGGTTACATAATGTGCAAGTAGTTACAGCTTTTTCATGTAAATATGAATATGCATTGTGATGATGATGACAGAAAAACAGTGAGAGATATCACTGCTGTGTATCTTAGTGTCAGGTGAAGGCTGCTCCCTAATCCTCAAGCCGTCCAGGGTCGTGGTGGGCTTTGGGGAGTCAGTGTCTGTCAGCTGCGAGGCTGCACGCCCTGTCCGTGTCCTGGGCTGGGAGTCAGCCATCAGTGCTTCACATACACAAGAGGACCGGTCTGTCCAGTGGAAGGTGGACAGTCTCATTGACTGGATAGAGGAGCCCATCTGTTATGGGGTGTTTTTCACAGCTCCGAAACAATGCGAGGAGAAGCTCAACCTCGTGCTCTACAGTGAGTTGTTTAAAAGCTGTTGTTAAGATTGATTTCTCAACCGAGCCCTTTTTTGATTGACCTGAACCCTGTGTGTTATTCATTTAGAAACTCCAGACAGTGTCTCCATCAGACAGGTGAACCACACCGGCCCCATGGTGGCAGGGAAAGAGTACCAGCTGCTCTGCGAAGTTCAGAATATTGCTCCCGTTCAGTATCTCAGCCTGAGGTGGTACAGAGGGCAGACTGAGGTTTATAACCACTCCTTCTCTGATCTCACCTCTTCCTCACCTGTCCAAGTATCCTCTATCCTTGTTATCACACCAACTAAAGCTGAGAACGGAGTGCAGTATAAGTGTGTTGCAGAGCTGGAGCTTGGGCCAGAGGGACCACAGCCACCTCCCACTGTTTCCTCAGAACCTCTCAATGCTTCTGTTTATTGTGAGTCACTAAGCTCTTCTCATTCTTAAAGCAAGTTCCTGCATGCTCGATACAGTGAGAAACGATATGTGTAACTTTCTCTTTAGTTCCCCCGACATTCCTGAGTCCTGAACCAGAGATTTTGGATTCTATACTGGGGGGTGAGATCATATTAAACTGCACTGCAACAGGAAACCCCACCCCAATATACAGCTGGCAATCCTCCGTTCCCATGCAGGAGAGGGTGGAGAATGAAGCAACTGTTACCTCCTCCTCGCTGCTCCCAGGGACCTACACCTGCACTGCATCCAATACACTGGAAAAGAAAAGCAAGCAGTTCATTGTCAAGGCAAAGACCAAAGGTAGAAGAGAGAAATGAGGCACATGTGCAACCTGTCTGTGCACGCTGCAGCCTAACTTGTATCTTCTTTTGCTTTCACCTAGGCGTTTGAAACAACCACTGTGGAGAGGGGGTTGGACGACCACATCAGAAACACAGCGAGAAGTTTATCTTTTTTACAGTTTTTATTTCTGGTGTTTTTGTTTTTTTACTTTCACATTTGCTACTCTGGCGATGGAGGTGCATATTTATGAGACGATCGTCTTATCATCCAGAATTAGTTCACACAGAGAAACAGACCTGAATATGCTGTGCTTGGTAATTACCATTTAATTTGTCAGTGTTGTTTTAGGATGTAGTTCACATTTTATGAAACATTCTGTGTCTAATTTATATTTGGATAGGCCCTTTTTTCCTATTAATGAAACTATCTTGTAACACTACAGAAGTGTAGCTACTCATCATAGCAGTATGACTAGCACCAGGACATGGCTGTAAATATGACGTCTTTGTTTTCTCATCTTTATCAATACGAGTTTAATAAATGAATTGTAATAAACTTCTTTCATGGACCAACAAGCCACCTTTGATCAAACATCTTTCCAAAGGAAAAAAATACTAAGAATACTAACACATAATTTAGTCTGTCCAATCCAGATGAAGCTTAAATGAATCATGCAGAACTTAGAACATATAGATAGAATTCATATTAAAGGTAACCTTTATAATTTCCTACATTCATTTTAAGTAAAATTCCATATTCTATTTTGTTCTAATTTTAAAGATTATGACTTGGAGCTCATGGAAACCAGAAGCCAATTTCTCAAATTCTTATTTGAGATATTGTCTTATATTAATGAAACAAAGATTTACAATACAGAAATATCCAACTTATCAAAAGTATGTTCATCTGTACACTCAATACTTAGTCTGGCCTCCTTTACCATGAACTGCTGCATGATTGCAGAGCAGCGTGATGCAGCCGATCAGCCTGCAGCACTCCTGAGGAGTTATTTAAGCCATTGCTTTAACAGCCACCTTCAGCTCGTGTTTATTTTTGTGTTGGGTGTTTCTCAGCTTGACAATACCCTGCACAGCCTCTCTGTGGCAGGGCTGGGCAATTACCCACCCCCACTCTACCGGATTCAGTTCTGGCAAGTTGACTGGCCAATTAAGCACATTAATAACCCAGGCAGCAAATCTGGTAGTAGTTTTGGGACTCTGGGCAGGATCTAAGTCCTGCTGAAAAAGGAAATAAGGTTTATCAGCAGGTGGAAGTATGAAGTGTTCTATAAGCTCTTGGTAGACAGCTGCACTGACATTGCACTTTATAAAACATGGTGAACCAACCACATCACAGTCCTTGGATTCTGTGCCTCTCCACTCTTCCTCCACGCTCTAGGACTTTGATTTCCAAAACTAAAAAGTAAATCTGGTTCATCTCTGATTTAGGAAAAGTCAGTGTTTGCTCTTGATGCACTGGCACCACGCTCAGCCCATTCCTTTTCACCAATGACTTTCTCTGCCTTTCTCCCTTTGTGAACAGTGTCATTGATCGCTGTCTGGACAAGTGCCAAGTCAGCAGCCTTCCCCCATAATTGCGATTGCACGTGGCATGCCCAGGAGATTAACAGTATTCATGCTGTAATAACATTAATTTAATCAAACTTGTGAAAATAATCTAATATCTGAGACACTGATTTTCACAAGGTATAAAACACTCTAAATTAACCTTAAAAAAGTTTATTTCACTGTGTTTGAAATTAATGCAGAATACATACGCGTTTACCTTTTTAAAGCTATACCAAAAAAACACAACTTTTCACAATATTCAAACAGCTGCCATTGCATCATTTTCCCTCTGTCACTGGGTCACTACGACTTCTCACCGCGAGATGGCGTGGTTATACTTCTACAGTCATTGATCTTAGGAGGTGATTGGTTGTTGAAGACTCACATGATCAAAACACTGCCTCGTAAGAGGATTTTTAAATATATAGAGAACTAGTATATGAGTGTTGATTTTAAAAATTTAGTGCCATCTGTGTGTGGATTTTATCATTTGGACCTCTGTCACGCGGTCACTGCGGCTTCTGACCACGAGATGACGCTGCTGTACTTCCTAAGAGGTGATTGGCTGTTGAAGAGTCACATGTTCAAAACACTGCTTAGCAAGGGGGGACTAGCATGAGCAGCTAACATTAGTTAGCTTTTTGAGACTAATTATTAGCTCCATGACAACTACTTAAAAGTGATAAAGGTGGGAGTCATTTCTTGGGTTCTTTCTTATGTTAAGTCCTCTTTGCATTTGCTCACAACAAAGAATGTCGTGTTCTCTTTCAGAAATGCCACAGAAGGATCCGTGCCAAAAGCAAGCATGTGCAATTCAGAAGTGTTTACAAGGTGCTTTAAGCGCTCACTTTGACGCAATTATATGTTGGTGAAGTGTACCTGAACTGTTGCCTAACTCTGTCTCCCCCCTGCAGCTAATAAGTACGTGGAAAGCCTGTGCGAGAAGGAGATCGCGGAGATGCGGCGGTGCTGTCAAGTGCATGCGGGAAACTCCATTTGCTGCTCCGGGTTCAAAGACTCAAAACCCGCAGAGAGCAAAAGTAGCGAATAGTTGCATGTATTCATGCAAGTCATAATTCTGCATTGTATCAGTATAACATGACAGTGGAGTTTGCTGAGTTGTTGCATATTTATTTGTCTGTCTGCTACCATCCGTTTGTAAATTTAAATAGTGTTTTCTCACAGCAGACATTTTGAGATTGCAGAGAGCCTCATAATCACTCATTCCCCTGGGGCTAAATGGCACACATCTGGCAGCCTCACAAAGCTGAACAATGCAAGCTGTCTAATGTATTTAAATATTATATCGTGTGGTACTGTCCACACCCAATGTATTTCTCATGCCTAGTATAAAATTTCAAGTATGTGTGTGGCAAGGAGTTTTATTCTAATTATAGTAATAAAGAATTTTTTTAAATTAAGAATTTCCCTGGAAATCGAGACTAACTTGTTATTCATATCTCAGCCTACAGCGAACATCGTACAGTGGATAGCTTTTAGGGGTGTAGAGGAGAACATGGCAGAAAGACAAAGTTTAATGCTAGCTGGGTAGACAAGGATGAGGCTCTAACAATTGTTTTTTCCTTCTGGTAAAGAAATAAAATGTTTGCACTTTGAATGAAACAATTGGGTTATACTTTTTAAATTAGGAGCATCATTCACCACTCATGCAATGATTAGGACAAGAAAGTCATTACAATTTAAGATTTGTTGATTGATTCATGATGTCAAACATCTTCTTTATGGAAGCAGGTAAAAGTGGAGGTGTGAAATTAATAATACTCTGGTAGATTTGTGGCTTTCAGTTAATTCAACAACCTTATTGACTACATAATTGTAATTAGAACTACATAATGCCCTGGGTAGATTTTATTCCTAGGTGTGTTGTTTTCACCTTCCATTCTGCTGGGTCGATTCTGGCCCTCGGGCCAGAACTGGGTCAGCCACACCTCCTCAGTGACTTAAAACTTTTAGTCCCTGGTGTTATGGGCCCCAGGGGTCCAGGCCCATCCAAAAAGGTCAGTGCACCCCCTCAGCTGAATTCTACTGGCATAGTTTTGGAGGTAGGCACTGTGGCAACTCATAAAGAGAGAAGCAAAAAGAATAATTTTAGTAAAATTAAATCCTTCAGTTTGGTAATGAAGGAGATCTAAATCATTGATAAGCTATTACAGTAAAAACCAAGCTGATGTTACTTATTTGATTAATAGTAGCTTAGTGACTAGGAAGTAATCTCAGTAGTGTGACTCAGGAGGACACTGATTTTTGGAGCGAATGGGCCTGTGCAAGTCGAACAATGGGAAGAGCCCCCATATGACTCTTTGGAACAAAAAAATGTCATTTTTTCGACTTGTGTAGTTTGTTATAGGTGGTGTGGATATTCTTGTGGTTTAAAGTTGCTTGTTTGTTCTTGAATTTGTTGTGTACTTTTAAAGGTGGCCCAGCTGCCCCCATATTTGCAAGGGGTCGTTGCAGCGAGTAGCACCAGATTTCTGATTTGTCAGGCCCTTCTTGACACAACATCAGATGGGTTGAAACAGGGACCTTTTGCTTGTTGGGTGAATGTCTAAAACTCTACACTATGGAGTGTATAGGTTATTATTATACGGGACTCCCTCTTACTGTAACATTTTAAATATACCTTTAACCTTTTATTTTTAGCTATGCATCTTATTTTACCCTCTGTTTTTAAAGTGTAAGTGCAAATGTGCACATAAATGTACCTAAATGTCTCTGAAGATGTAACTCATGCCTAATATTTTTTAGGCGTGGTCTGAATATTTGTGAATCCAGGCCTTGGATTATTTTAACACTGACACCCTGGTTGTACCTGTTAGACCCAGACAAACTACATTGTTAAGGATTTCCTTAGTACATGAGCTCCACATTCTCTGCATGGGAGTCATTGCCATCTTGAGCAGCTATAAATGGTTGCTCAGGCTCATTTTACACTTTGAAACCTTGCCTCCTTTTGTCAAAACTCTAAACAAGTAAATTCACACAACTTCTGGCAAATCTTACTAACTCATCTACACAGTTTTGCACGTTCTCAAAACCACGGAGTGTTGTCAGATCACACAGGGAACCATTGAGAATAATCACACCACACATGGTACATTGCACAATACGCCTAGGACGAAAAATGTAAACAGCTTTCAAAACATGTAACTCAAGTCTTTCCGGCCTCGTGTGGCCATCTTGCATGTAAAAAAAAAATTTGAATAAAAAATAGATCATCCCTCCTAACACACACGCACACACATACTGCCATCCACTCCTCAGCTTCCCTTTTATTTACCAAGACATCATTGTGGCAACAGAGGATCTGCTGAGAAACCAGTTTTGTTTTATTCTCATCTAACATAATTATAAAAAATTAGAAACCATATAAAACTGGAGTCTGGGAAAAATGTGAAACACTTTAATGAGTACATAATTGTGAGAAAAGAAAATCACCTACTTCACACTTCTGCTGTTTCTTTTTATATGGGTTATCAATTCGTGCACAAAAATATGATAATATAAATGCTTGAATATTTTTTGGGAATGACTGTTCTTCATCTTATTCTTCCTCCTGTGCCTCACATAATTTCCACCACCCTTTGAGCCATCTTAGCAGGCCAAAGTGGCTTTATATCTTATGTCTAGATTTTAAGAAATGACATCTGTGCTGTAATTGTGATTAATGTCTGCTTGCGGTTCTTGACGTACGAATGCAAGTGAATCACTGTGCAGAAATTAGTTTCTTAAGGCTTTAAGCTTTAGTCTCTTAACTTATAGCTTTAATAGAATTATACATGTAAAAGTAAAGAGTGTTGATAAAGGTTTACACATTCAGACCAATCAAATGTATAGCCAAAGACATATATACGGCAATAAAATAAGAAAAAAATCAAGAAATGCAGGCTTTCGATCTTTTGATATAGCGATGTTGAATGTTTTCAGTTCATATGTTCAACAGGTTGGATGCCAGTTAGAAAAGAATGAGGAATCCTGGATTAAGTTGGATGAAGTGGTGGAGAGTGGCGACTGAAGCAGCGTTCAATGGATATGTAGGTTAAAAGTTGGTCAGAGATTTTGGGTTAAGGAAAGAAATGTGAAAGCACTGATGGTAGTGGGTCGAGAAGAGGGTGGCATAAGAATGGAGCAAGCAAACATGTTGAAGGTGTAATCTGAAAGAGACAGGAACCTGCTCAGTGGTTTCGGGGGAGAATGGAACTGGGCAGTATTAGATGGTAGTCTGTAAGATGAGTTTGGGCATCAAAAAGAGGAAGCAATTGAAGGCAGAGATAATCACTGAATGGTGGAGGTTGAGGAAGGAAGAATGCTGTGCAGAGTTCAGGGAAGAGTTGAGGCCAGCTCATGGTAATAGTGAGGAGTCATCAGATGACTGGGAAAGTACAGCTGTAGTGGTGAGGGAAACTGACAAGAACATATTTCATACTTAATGTCGAAATGAAAAAATACGGGAAAGCATTCAAAGGAAGTTAGCAAAGACAAGGTAATATAGTAAGGGAAATAAAGAATGTAGATATGAGTACTGTTAAGCAAGGTCTACAGCAAAGGAAAAGGCTTATAGTGAGATGCATCTGAGAATGGACATTGAGAAAGGAGAAAAAGACTTCTTCTATCAGCTAGGCAGAGCCCTCAACCTTGAAAGGATGTGCAGCAGTTCAGGGTGATTAATGATAAAGACAGAAATGTACTAACAAGTAAAGGGGGCTTGGAAGGTGGAAGGAGTACTTTGAGGAGCTGATTAATGTGAAAAATGAGTGGGTGAGGGAGGATGCATGAAGGACAGGAGGACAGTTGGTGAATCAGGAAGTGCAAGGGATTAGTAAGGAGAAAGTGAGGGCAGGTGTGGAGAGGAAGAGTGAAAAGTGGCTAGTATAGATGGTTTCTCTATACCTGTTGGAGATGAGCAGTGGACTTTTTACCCAGATTGTTTACCTGCACCAATATTCAAGAGTGAAGGTGGTGTGCAGAATCGCAGTGCCTACAATAGATGAAGGTGAAAATAGATGGGCATGATTAGAGGAGGAATAATGATATAGAGAACACGTAATGTTGAAGATGGACCTAGTGGGCAGGAAGGAAAGAGGAAGACTACTTAGAAGTTTAATAGATGTAGTGAAGAAGGACACGCAGATGGATGATGATGATGTTAGTGATAGGATGAGATGGAGACAGATGATTCCCTGTGGCAATCAGAAGATGTGGGGTTCCTATTTTTCATTAATTGAAGTCATTTTAAATTAAATTATTTAAGTCTCTATACTTTAGGTATTATAACATATTAAGACTAAACAAATACATAATTATTCTTTACCTTTACACTTCATTTTTGTTCCGACAAATTTAAAAAGATGATGTTTTGAAGAGAAGTTACAGCGAGTCATTTATTTTATTTTACTTTATTTTATTTTATTTATCTAGTCGACGTACAAGGAAAGGAACAGCACTCTTGTGTTTCCGGCGTCGTCCTGTTGACGCAATGACGCGATGACGTCAAACGGAAATCTGTAGCTCCAATTCTTTCTAGAATTCTGTAGCACTCTCTAGCCCGCTGTCTTCAGGGATGTTCATCTGAGTTTGTCTACATCTAATACAGCAAGAAGCTCTTCTAAAGAAACAAATACGTATTTCTGCGCTGTGCGGCGATCTTGCGGTCTGTCCTTGTTTCAATCAAACTTGTTAGCTTCTCATAGCTCGCGAACTTAGCTGAAGCCTATTGTAAGCTAACGGTGTTAGCTTTGGGGTGTTGGTGTCAGGATGTCCAGGATAGATTACAGCGTGTGGGACCACATTGAGGTGTCGGACGATGAGGATGACATCCATCCAAACATCGACACACCCAGTCTCTTCAGATGGAGACACCAGGTATAGCAACAAGCCACGCATGGTTACAATTAAGATGCTACACATGAAGTAAAAGTGATGCATATTTGACCTGAACTGTTAGCTGACCTCGTGTGTTTACTTTGGTTCTGTGTTTACTTTTAACATGAATATAGGAATGTTTAACTTTTTGCAACTAAATCCACATTTGGAAAAAAGAAAAAAAACAAGTAGTAAAGATTTTATATTTTGACCTCAGGCTCGTGTGGAGCGGATGGAGGAATTTCAGAAGAAAGGTGAAGAACTAAACAAGGGACTGTCCGAGTGCAGACGCAAGCTGGCAGACACACAGAAGAAAATCAAGGAGCTAACCATTTCAACATCAGAGGATGCCAAAGCAGAGTTGAGCAAAGTCCAGGCTGAGGAGAAGAAAATGAAAAAAGAGGAACGGGATTGGGAGAGAAAGGTGGGAGACTACCAACGGGAGGAGAAG